TTAATTGGCAAGGCTCTTAACCCTTGGCTGGTTATGTAGGCAGTAACTTATGCTACCTTATCAAGGTTCATTAACACAATTAACACATTATGTGGGTTATATGATCAATACTGGCCAAGGTCATAAAATACAATGTTCTGTTCATTACCTTTATCTCAGGGGACAAATCGAAGACAAAGCAACAGTGTTTTCCTCTGGTGATTGTACATGATGCAGCATAACTGTTGCATTTTAAACTCGCCATGAAATACTGCACTGTAGATAAACGCCAATTTGGGTATTTGTAGTGATCTTGCCCATTTTAATGAGTGCTGCTTAAATGCATTGTCAGAATGTTATGTAGCAATGTATATATTTTTTTGATGGCACATCACATGTGAGAATTTCAGGAAGTAGCGCTTTGCCTGTAGCACCTTTGTCCATGTGTACTGGCTTTTTTCTTCAGTGTTATGGCATAATGATTTCTTTGTTAGATTGTAAGTACAACTCACTCTATTGCTGGCCTGTTGCGGTGGCAGAAATAAGAACACTGCTGAAAATAAGAGCTACTGTCACAATGAACTGTGAGAGTGCTAAACAACACCCTCTCTTAAAAACCTAAGCTAACAAATTGAATTATTTTAAGATGGTCATACCGCACATATTTAACCCCTTATTTTTGTTGGCACAAAACTACCTCCATACTTCCATTTGTATTTATGGGTTACTTTCAGACGAGTCCCGTGACACTTGGGGGTCATAGAACAAAACAATTGAACACCATTATGTTTGTGAGAGTCTCCCCTTTCCATAGTGGTGTTAAGTTGCGTCAATTCAAATCTGGTATTAGGAACAAAAGAGGTCAATACACGTCTTCTAAATAGACTAGTATTTTATTTAATGCAAACCACTTCAATGGTAAATATGAAGTTCGTATATACGGGTCCACTGAAATACCACGCAGGGCACTCAGAGAACTAAGCCATTGTTATGAGTTCTTCTTAAAATACTCTGACAGAGATAGTTCCCGCTCCCTGCTGGCCAATCAGAGTAGAGACTGAGCGTGGTTTAGACTTACTCAGCCAATCGTTGGCGCACAGGCTGGTCCCAGCCCCTTGGCGCTCCACTGTTGCACACTGTTGCCAGGCATAAGTTTGTTATCATCACAACCTGTAGAGTCATCACCCATAGACACTGTTCCCCTGTACCTACGTCCTTGGACGGTTCACAGATCACAAAGAGGCAGTGTTCGTGTCTGTGAGAAATACAAGTCTTATCTCATCCTACCCCCTAACGTTCCTCACATGAATCACAGCTTGTTATGTGAAACAATTTATATCAGTACAGTACAAACCCTTTATGTTTAATCATTAATGCATTCTTTCTAAGCTAGTCATCACATCTAGATCCCCACAGTGGGGTCATATTTGTTTGTAGCTCAAATGGTTCAGACCCTACAGACAGAAGTTGGCACACAGTTGACTTCAGACGAGTCCCGTGGGGGTCGTAGAGCAAAACGGAGAACACCATCGTGTTTGTGAGAGTCTCCCCTTTTCATAATAGTTTGTAGGCCAAACCGTTCGGAGGCTACAGACGTTTTTGTGAGAAGACTGATTTTCGGGATGTCTCATGGTCTGACAAACACCGCTGTAACTCAGCCACTTTCCACCACAGATGCAGAAGGCCTGATATCTCTAGCTTAAATTTACAGATTTTGATGGGGATTGTTTTATTATGTTACTTAGATTGACGCACAGGTCACAAGGATTATAACATGTCACAGTGACATTGAGTTAGCATTTGTTATTATGGAATATGGCTGCACTGTATTATTGTGCAACACGTCTGGGAATCGCTGTGAAAGATTATATTCCTTCGTTCTTTTAATGAATGTCTTCATAATAATTGATTGAAAAAAGCTCATTTGAGTATCTGTACAGTAAATGTTACACAGATTTACTCATTTTATGGTCACATAAATTTTTTCCTATCATCTCTAAACCGTTCACAGTAATGTCTAATTAATGCCGTAATTGCTTTAGATGAAGAAGACCTGGCAGAGTTTTACATGTTGTTAGCCAGCACTGTAGGTAGGCTAAAGCACACAGGAGGCTGGCGAGAGAGGACGGCTCATAATAATGACTGGAATTAAAGTGAATCGAATGGTATCAAACACAAGGAAACCATGTGTTTGATGTGTCGATACCATTCCATTTATTCCATTCCAGCCATTACTGTGAGCCCGTCCTCCCCAATTAAGGTGCCACCACAGTCTGTACTACAGCAACACTTGATTAAAGACTGAAGCAAGTACATTTTTAGTGATCCAATTGACATTTTAGTCATTTAGCAGACGCTCTTATCCAGAGCGACTTACAATTAGTGAGTGCGTACATTTTTCATACTGGCCCCCCGTGGGAATCAAACCCACAACCCTTGTGTTGCAAGCGCCATGCTCTACCAACTGAGTGACCATGTACAGAAGTACATGGTCGCTTTAGGCAAGGTGTTGGTCATGTACAGTCTATTCAGAAAGTATTCAGACCCCTTGACTTTTTCCACATTTTGGATTAAAATCCCTCATCAATCTACACACAATACCCCATAATGACAAAGCATTTTATTTTTATTTTTTTCTGCAAATGTATTAAAAATAAAAACTGAAATTTCACATTTACATAAGTATTCAGACCCTTTACTCAGTACTTTGTTGAGGCACCTTTGGCAGCGATTACAGCCTTGAGTCTTCTCGGGTATGAAGCTACAAGCTTGGCACACCTGTATTTGGGGTGTTTCTCCCATTCTTCTCTGCAGATCCTCTCAAGCTCTGTCAGGTTGGATGGAGAGCTCATTTCAGGTCTCTCCAGAAATGTTCGATCAGGTTCAAATCCAAGCTCTGGCTGGGCCACTCAAGGACATTCAGAGACTTGTCCCAAAGCCACTCCTGCATTGTCTTGGCTGTGTGCTTTGGGTCGTTGTCCTGTTGGAAGGTGAACCTTCGCCCCAGTCTGAGGTCCTGAGCGCTCTGGAGCAGGTTTTCATCAAGGATCTCACAGTACTTTGCTCCGTTCATCTTTCCCTCGATCCTGACTAGTCTCCCAGTCCCTGCCGCTGAAAAACATCCCCACAGCATGATGCTGCCACCACCTTGCTTCACCGTCGGTGCCTGGTTTCCTCCAGATGTGACGCTTTGCATTCAGGCCAAAGAGTTCAATCTTGGTTTCATCAGGCCAGAGAATATTTTTTCTCATGGTCTGAGAGTCCATTAGGTGCCTTTTTACAAACTCCAAGCGGCTGTCATGTGCCTTTTACTGAGGAGTGGCTTCCATCTGGCCATTCTACCATATAGGCCTGATTGGTGGAGTGCTGCAGAGATGGTTGTCCTTCTGGAAGGTTCTCCCATCTCCACAGAAGAACTATGGAGCTCTGTCAGATTGACCATCGGGTTCTTGGTCACTTCCCTGACCAAGGCCCTTCTTCCCTGATTGCTCAGTTTGCTGGGCGGGCAGCTTTGGGAAGAGTCTTAGTGGTTACAAACTTCTTCCATTTAAGAAATGTTTTGGTACCCTTCCCCAGATCTGTGCCTCGACACAATCCTGTCTCGGAGCTCTACGGACAATTCCTTTGACCTCATGGCTTGGTTTTTACTCTGACATGCACTGTCAACTGCGGGACCTTATTTAGACAGGTTTTTTGCCTTTCCAAATCATGTCCAATCAATTTAATATACCTTAGGTGGACTCCAATCAAGTTGTAGAAACATCTCAAGGATGATCAATGGAAACAGGATACACCTGAGCTCAATTTCAAGTCTCATTTTAAAGGGTCTGAATACTTATGTAAATAAGGTATTTCTTTTTTTTATTTGTAATAAATGTGCAAGAATTTCTTGAAACCTGTCTTCGCTTTGTCATTATGGGGTATTGTGTGTAGATTGATGAGGAAAACGTTTTTTTAAATTCATTTTAGAATAAGGCTGTAACGAAACAAAATGTGGAAAAAGTAAAGGGGTCTGAATATATGAAAGGGCTATTTGACCAAGAAGGAGAGTGATGGAGTGCTGCATCAGATGACCTGGCCTCCACAATCACCGACCTCAACCCAATTGAGATGGTTTGGGATGAGTTGGACCGCAGAGTGAAGGAAAAGAAGCCAACAAGTGCTCAGCATATGTGGGAACTCCTGGTTGATCTGGTTGAGAGAATGCCAAGAGTGTGCAAAGCTGTCATCAAGGCAAAGGGTGGCTACTTTGAAGAATCTCAAATATAAAATATATTTTGATTTTTTTAACACTTGTTTGGTTTCTACATGATTCCATATGTGTTATTTCATAGTTTTGATGTCTTCACTGTTATTCTACAATGTAGAAAATAGTAATAATAAAGAAAAACCCTTGAATGAGTAGGTGTGTCCAAACTTTTGACTGGTAATGTATATTTGCAATAATCCTGTCCAATTGGCATTCTTAACTTCTCCTGGCATGTATCTAAAAATACATTTATTGTGCAGTGCACAAATGACACTGGAGTAGATACATTACTGAGTTACAGTACTTTGTAATGAGTCTTGTCCATTCTTATTTTTCTATGACAAGGCATCAACACTCGCCATTTAACAACACCTCTGCTCAATTTTCTTCATTTCTTTCCAGTAAGTTAGTGGATTTGAAAAGATACATAGGCACAACTTCAAGTGCTAAAGGCGGTATTTGGTTGAATCCCAGTTTTCTACTAGTATGCATTTAGAGGTGCTGTGTCCCAGTTACCCTGAGAAGTGAACGTTTGCATACCTGAAGTAAGAGAACGTTTGCATACCTGAAGTAAGAGAACATTTGCATACCTGAAGTAACGCATTAGATCACAAATACATGTTGGAGTTGGTGTAGCAATAATCCAGTGTACTGTGTATTCTTGAAAACTACATTCTGGTCGCATAGGTCGACCTCCAACAGCAACCCCACATGTGACCCATTTCCTTTGCCCCCCCCCCCCCCCCCCCCCCCCCCCCCCCCACCCCCCCAGGACGTTCCAGGACTTGTCCAAGCAGATGGACCTAGCCTATGGAACAGTGAGAGACTCAGCAGTGTACGAGTACTTCAGAGCCAAAGGCACCAACGCTCTGGAGCAGGACAGCACCTTCGCTGAGCTCTGGAGAACCATCAACAAGAACAACGGACATGAACACTCAGTCTCCAGCCCCTCTGAAGGCATCCGCAAGGTGAGCTCAGGGACAGCCATGTCTGAATTCATAGATTTCAGCAAACTGGAGCCACCTAACAACGTTTTTCCAGATGAGTGAAAATGAACGGTATATGTTTAATTCTAAATCACTCCAGCTATACAAGGTAAAGTACTATCAGGACACACACAAAAACAGAACAATGCAGGGCATACTATGATGTGCATAGAGAGACAGTTGAATGGTGTGGCAATACCCGTAGTGTTCTGCAGATACTTGGTGTAATGGTAAATTAAACCAGATACTTAGTGAGGTAAATTGCATTATGTCTTTGTGCTTAAAATGAAAGCATGTTGGATGAACAGCAATCTTAGTTATACATTCAAAACGTTACAGATGTAGTATCTTATCTTGATCACTCTTTTGTTGCTGAGATTTTTCGTGCACAGCAAACTTGTAGTGGATTCAAGGTTTAAAAATACTTCTAAAGTTTGTAATTTACACTTTAAAATGCCAGACTTAATTTGCCCTAACTAAAAATGTATCAACCCCTACAAAAAATGTCCATTAATTATAATCCACATAATAGTTCACATCACAGGAGGCTGGTGGCACCTTAATTGGGGAGAACGGGCTCATGGTAATGACTGGAGCGGAATCAGTGGAATGGTATCAAATACATCAAACACATGGTTTCCAGGTGTTTGATGCCATTCCATTTACTCCGTTCCGGACATTATTATGAGCTGTTCAGCAGCATCCACTGGTTCACATTTCCTGTTGCTGCAGTATTATTTTCCTGCTGTAGCAAACTGGCTCAAATTCAGATCCTACATCTGTATAGCCATTAAACTGAGATACTGTTCAGTGCGAATGGTAAATGAGAAGATTTAAATTAAGAATCCGATGGGAAAATACTTTTTTCTGACTTTCTTTTGGGGTTTCGTTTTCCTTCAGGACCTTGTGCAGTACAACAAATATGTGTACGGACAGGCTGCTCAGGGTTTTATTATTTATTTGTGATGTTATCTTGGAATACCTGGGATTCTTGGAAAAGTGCCAGGATAAACAGAGCAAAACAAATTCACACTCAGCAAGAATTGAAGAGATTCTGTTGCTGTTCTTGTTAGTCTGGATAAATGTAATGGTCAAGCGATCCACTTTATACCCTGACAACGCAGATGTGCCATGTTCACTTTGTTCACATTAGCTAATGCCACAGTGAACAGCACTGACTGGTTATGACTGACTGTAATGGACTTGAAAATAGACTGTGGTTAAGTTTGTGATTAAGGCTGGTGATCATTGGATGCATGTGTGTTTCTGTGTACATGTCTGTTTTCCCCATTTGTTTCCGATCTCCTCTCAATATAACCCCTGTGTATATCCTTCCCCAGGCGAAGAGAGATTCCTTTGCCTTCCTGTGGGACATGGCTGTGGTGGAGTATGCTGCTCTGACAGATGATGACTGCACCCTGACGGTGACCGGCAACAGTATGAGCAGTAAGGGCTACGGCCTGGCCCTGCAGCACGGCAGCCCCTACAGAGACCTCTTCTCCCAGAAGTGAGTGCCCCCTTCCAGCCAACCCACCCCAACAGCCACTTACAGTATTTCTGTTGCTGTACTGTAGATGGGTGGTTCCACAAATAGAGTGTATTTTATGTCCTTGTGACATTGTGTGTAGTTTTCGATAAACACTCAATTTAAGAGTTGGATTACATACATCTACGCTATAACTAAGCTAAACCATGTTAGAAATTCCAATGGTAGTTTGTTTTCTTTCAAATAAAGGCTGTGGATCTGAAGGAAACCGCTCCATTCTGCCCATGTCCCGCCCCCCTGGAAGCCTCTTCCCCAGAGCAAAAAATATGTATCAAGTTCTGCGCGTCATGTTTCTTTAAATCCGTATCATGTTTCTTCACATTTCTCACTGTCAATTATTGTTAATGACAATTCTTCAAGTTTTCCGGTGAAACGTCCATGCAGCATCTTCATGCCAACCATTTGATTTCAATCAGTTTCATGGGAATATGCATTTAGATCTTCTTGAGTTATGTATAGTGTTGTTTCAAAGTACGGTGTTGTTTTAATTATGTACAGTGAGCAAATTTGAGAGCAGATGGTGTTAACAAACTGTAGAATAACTGTGTTTTGTTTCAATCAAAGCACATATTTTGCCTAGTGGCGCACTGTTGAGTTTTGTGCGACCATTCGCACAATCATCCTAAAATCTCATAAGAAATGAGGAGGTGTTTGTTTGTCTTACCGTAATGTTATACTATGCTATTATATTCAGTTATTTTATGTAGAGGACTATTATATGTGATCTTACAGATATTGATTCAGCATTGAGCTAACTTTATTAAATGAGTACCACTCTCCAATCATCGCTGAAATCCGCCAGAGTGGTTTGTTCTCTGGGAAGCTGAACAAGTAGAGCAGATGCTGTGTGTAAAGTAGAGAATCCCGCATAAGCTTCAGATTTTCTGCAATCAGGAAGAGGGTTCCAAACCGCAGCCACTCCTTTAAACTAAATTAGTTTGCCAGTTTGTCATGTCATGTTTGTCTGACTTCTAGGAAGATTTTAACCCACTTAACCCCAACATTTCCCCAAGTTTTAACCATCATTGTAAAGCCCTAGTTATTTTGTTGCTTTAACAAAGTAATTTCTAAAGATTATTATTTATTTCATGTGATTAATGATAAATGTACATTTGTCCCTCAGGTTTGAGGTCAACCTGTTTACTTGAACTTAAAGGGATAGTGCAAGAATTTGGCAATTAAGCCCCTTTTCTACATACCCAGTCAGACGAACTCAAGGATAAAATGTGTATGTTTCTGCTTGCAGTTTGAAGTAAATTGAAGGTAGTTTCGCGAGCCATTGCTGACTAGTATTAGCGCAATGACTGGAAGTCTACCAGAAAAGCTAGCATGCTTCTTTAAAAATAAACATTGAACATCTAATAGTCAAATCAGGTTATCAATCAACCTACCAGGGTAGTTACAAACAGTACAATAATGAAATCATCAACATTTATTGATCATATCTTTACTAATGCTGTAGAAATTTGTTTGAAAGCAGTATCCAAATCCATCGGATGTAGTGATCACAATATAGTACCCATATCCAGGAAACCAAAGTTCCAAAGGCTGGGCCTAATATTGTGTATAAGTTTTGTGATGATTCCTATGTTATTGATGTGAAGAATATTTGTTGGTCTGTGGTGTGTAATGACGAGAAACCAGACGCTGAACATGACACATTTATGAAATTGCTTATCCCAGTTACTAATAAGCATGCACCCATTAAGAAAATTACTGTTCAATCCCCATGGATTGATGAGGAATTGAAAAATGGTATGGTTGAGAGGGATGAGGCAAAAGAGATGGCAAATAGGTCTGGCTGTACAACCGATTGGCTAACGTACTGCAAATTGAGAAATCATGTGACTAAACTGAATAAAAAGAAGAAGAAACAACACTATGAAACAAAGATAAATGACATAAAGAATTATAGTAAAAAGCTTTGGAGCACCTTAAATGACATTTTGGGCAAAAAGGCTTGTAAACTGTCATGGTCAAAACATATTTATACAAGAGTAGCTAGAATGGGGAGAAGTCTGTCTATAATAAAGCCCTTTCTTAACAGCACTATCAACAAGGCAGGTCCTACAGGCCCTAGTTTTGTCGCACCTGGACTACTGTTCAGTTGTGTGGTCAGGTGCCACAAAGAGGGAAAATGCAATTGGCTCAGAACAGGGCAGCATGGTTGGCCCTTGGATGTACACAGAGAGCTAACATTAATAATATGCATGTCAATCTCTCCTGGCTCAAAGTGGAGGAGAGATTGACTTCATCACTACTTGTATTTGTGAGAGGCATTGACATGTTGAAAGCACCGAGCTGTCTGTTTGAATTACTGGCACACAGCTCGGACACCAATGCATACCCCATAAGACATGCCACCAGAGGTCTCTTCACAGTCCCCAAGTCAAGAACAGACTATGGGAGGCGCACAGTACTACATAGAGCCATGACTACATGGAACTCTATTCCACATCAAGTAACTCATGCCAGCAGTAAAATTAGTTTAAAAAAACACACCTTATGGAACAACAGAGACTGTGAAGCAACACAAACACATGGATTTTGTGTTGTAGATATTTGGTAGTAGAGTAGAGGCCTGAGGGCACACACTTAATATGTTGTGAAATCTGTAATTACATTTACGTCATTTAGCAGACGCTCTTATCCAGAGTGACTTACAGGAGCAATTAGGGTTAAGTGCCTTGCTCAAGAGCACATCAACAGTTTTTTCACCTAATCGGCTCGGGGATTCAAACCAGCAACCTTTCAGTTACTGGCACAACACTCTTAACCACTAAGCTACCTGCCGCCCCATGTTTTTAAAATGTATAACTCCCTTAATTTTGCTGGACCCCAGGAAGAGTAGCTGCTGCATTGGCAGGAACTAATGGGGATCCATAATAAATACGAATACAAATACAATTAGTGTAAAAGCCGGTGAGCTGGTTCTACTCTTTTTTGCCATTTTCTGGTGTTTTGTGGTGAAAAACTCACGAGTGCATTGAGCATAACACACCAACACTATTATCCATAGATAGATAGGCTAGAAAAGTTTTAGCAAGTTCAATGTTTGTGTTAAGCTTGCATTCAATTGCCCCTCCCTGTTGCACACAACAAGCTTCCATCCTCGCTGTTACAAGGGGAGCTATGGCTGATTTAAGATGAAATTGCCAACCCTGTTACGGTCAACCCTGTTGCCTTTTATCATGTTTTTTTTATATACCTCTGGTGATGGGAAAACATGTTTTTTATGAAGTTGAACATGTGCTCTTTATGACAGAATGTTAAAAATAGGTGAAATAAATATATTTTTTTGATAAAATTACACTATCCAAAAGGCACTCATGACACATGTACTAAATGGGGAAAACTTGAATGATGATTACTTATAAGTGTGAATATACAGTTTTGTAGCTTATGTGTGGTGTGTGGTTGTGAAGGGGGATACATAAAGATCCTGTGAGAAGCCATCACCTTGGGTGGGAGAGATGCACTGTTTTTGTTAACGTTTCAGCCACTTTGCCATCATTCTCTTATATCCATTCTCATCCATACTGTAAGATTACTAATGGGCTCTCTGTAGTCTTTCATTATCAGGCTGGCAGTCAGTCAAAATTTTCCTGGCCACATTCTTAGTTTAAAGGACTGTTATTAATCTTCTCTTATGGCCAGTTTGATATAACTCGAACATGGTTTTTAGACTGGGTACAGTATAGGGTTAGGTTTAGGGCTCTTATGGTGACCGTATTACCACCACACCGGAAGTCACAAGTGATGACCGCAGTCAGATTCCACTTGACCGTTTAGTCACAGTGACTAGGCTTCTCCAAGCTCTGATGCTGCTGATGGTCATAGTAGGCTACCAAACTTGCTAATTGCCTGATACTCAGCACTCTATTGTCCCACTAATCACTCTGAAATCAATGCAAATATGATCGAAAATCAAATCAAACACTTCATGAGAGCCCATGAGCTCATGTTGCACAATGTTTCTGATGACCTCTATTAAAAAGAGGAGGATCCCATCAGCTTTATATAGGCTAGGCCTACTATATTTATTTCTCAACTTTCTTAATATTAAGCACATTGCTTCGCTTTACAACAGGACTATAGCCTACCTGGCTAGCATGAAAATGAACCACGGGAAAAGCGTCCTTCATTCACTATTTAAGTGCATAGATGACATGTCTTTTTTTTCCCTGCCCCTGCCAGATCACGGCCTAACATTAATATTAATAAGGACAACTCAGAGTATGCTATTCTGTTCTTCTGAAATAGACTACATTTTCTTCATATTATGTTTCTTTTGGCATGTCGAAAATAAATTATGGATTTAATGTGATGGTAGGCTTTTTAAAATGTAGATGTTCCAAAGGTCTGCATTAGTGGCTAAATGTATTTATGTTAATTAACGGTCAATCACCGTGAGGCCGGCAGTTATTTGCTTGACAATCACAGGCTGAAAAAATGTCATGACCGCCACAGCCCTAGGTAGGTTACACAATAACCTCTCTACATTGTAATATTTTACATTAATAAACATCCGCACTGGGCACACACTGGTTGAATCAACTTTGTTTTCACGTCATTTTAATGAAATTACGTTGAACCAACGTGCAATAGACATTGAATTGATGTCTGTGCCCAGTGGGTCTCCTCTACCAGTAATCTGTCATTTTCACAACTGAGTCCAATATAATTCACTCTATTTAATTTGATCCTATCACAAATGTTTGAATAGGGAATTCGCTCTTGCGCGCTACCCACCCTAGTGCTTTCAGTGCAGACACAGAACTATAAAACTCTTCTATCTGTGTTTGTCAGGATTCTGGAGCTGCAGGAAAAAGGGGACCTGGACATCCTGAAACAGAAGTGGTGGCCCAGGAAGGGCCGATGTGACCTGGACAGCCACTCAGAGGCCCAGCCAGAGGGCAGGGCTCTGAGGCTCCACAGCTTCGCTGGGGTCTTCTGCATCCTGGCAGCAGGGCTGCTGCTGGCCTGCCTGGTGGCCGCCCTGGAGACCTGGTGGAGCAGCAACCGCTGCCGGCGTGAGCAGCCCAAAGAGGTGACCGAGAACACAGCCCCGACCCAGAGCCCAGACCCACCGCGGCCCGTCCCCAGGCCCAGGTCGAGACCCAGACCCCCGGGTCCCTGGGTCCTGCCCAGATTCTGCCACTGCCACACTCTACTTTATGGATCCAGGCACAGACACCAGCCCTGATTTAGTAGAGCTCCAGTAGACACAGTTATAGGTGTGCCCTAACAATAGTCCAAATTGATGTGATCGTTTCATCTTGTCTTTGGGTGGGAGAGAAGTGGGTTTGGGTGGTTTGTTTGAAGCTCTTCTTCTCTCCAGTTTTTTTGTATTTCAAAAGTGCCTTGGAGGGATCATTCAGAAATGTAAACATGCAATTAATTGCTTGTTTTTGCTTGTTTCTGCTGAAAAGTACAAATTCATTATCATTATCATTATCATGGATGGCAATAATGATTAGCGCAAAAAATATGAATAATGACAACAAGTATGTTGGTCAACTGATTCAACAGCGTTGTACTTCTGGGTAGATATGTGCTGCCTCAGTCGTGCAAATGCTCCCTTTAGCTCATCCATTCAAGTCTTACTGCTTTCAAATAACTTTATCACAACACGTGCAAGAAACTGAGCAGCCTCTGTGGATGTGGCGTCCAGAGATCAAAGGCTTGGCATGGATCCCTAAACTAAAGTGTGAGCAAACGAGATGCTAGCATTGACCTGTCTGTTTGATTGGACGATACAATAATGCAATAAGATAAACATTTTTAAAAAGCACTTAATGTAAGGATATTGTCATGAATATAGAGCATTAGATTATAGAGTGATGACCTAAACGGTCCCACTTTATTTGAAGTGCATCTTATGAAGGCTTCACAAAGCATTCATATAGGCTTTATAAGCACTACTACATAAATGGGTCACAAATCATTTATAACCGTATTTCATGCTCTATAAAGGATTAATAAATGTGAACAAATAAATTGATGGGTGTGTCACACAATTATAAATTATGCCACATTATGAAAAGCAATATACTTACCTTGGCATCAAAGTGTGGATGTTCAGTCATTACGAGCATGTTATATGGTTATCGATGATTTGCAAAGCATCTACAGTATGTAGTGCTTATGAAGCCTATATGAAGGCTTTAAAACGGGACCTTTAAACATTACCCATTTAATATCCGATAGTGTAATACTCCATTATAAATGTGTCATTGGATGTCATAACCTATCATGACCTTCAATGGCAGGTGTTCTTACACTCTTATGACAGCTACAGCATATGCAGGCAATATGACAACAATTTCCAGTAAATTGTGCCCCGGTACATAATAATCCCTGGTCATTCTACTGAGTGACGTCTTATTGCAATTATATGTCAATGTCCAGATACACAGCCATGCTGGTTATTTACGTACTGTATGATTGTGTGATCCCCGTGCAGGTCACTAAGGACTACAGTCTGGAAAGGGTTTTTGGTCCATTGACATATAATGACATTACAAGTGCTTCACCGGAAGGCAGGCGTGACATGTGGACAGACAGAGAGAGAGACTGGGAGGAGGCAGAGACTTTTGACACAGGTCAGGAGAGACCTGAGATATACGGGGCACTGTATGGGGTTGGGGAAGTGGGGGGTCAGATAGGGTTGGGGGGGCATGGGCGATGAGTAGGAGTAGATATGTATCGCTTCACCGGTCATCTCACTCCATGGTCTCTCCTGTTGTTTGGCATTTTGTCTTTGCGTTATGATTTAAACATCATTGGAAATGTTGGAACAATGAGAGGAAGGAGAAGCAGCCAAGAGGCCATACGTTTGGCTGTGTTTTTCTGTGCAGTAGATTTTTCTGCGCACTCTCTTACCCATAACATTTATTTTGGCACTTTTGGCTGCTTCTCACCTCCAAATTGCAACTTTTGGAGTAGTGAATGATGAAAAATACAGTGAGACTTTCAACAAATTATTTATTCAAATGATTGTAGGTCTTTGTCTCCTACATTTTGTCTATCTTGTCGCATAAAGTGTGATGCATTGACATTGTATGCCCATCTGAACCAGTCATTTTATAAATATGCTCTTCATGCAGTAGTGTGCTGCATAGATACATGCATTTCAAGAAAGGCATTCTACTGAATGAAGACACATCTTGGTAATAGTTAATTTGAAATGTGGAGACAAGTTTAGAAATTACACATTCAATCATTTTGTTTTATGTTGTACCATTATGCCTTAATTTTGCGGCTTAGCTTGTGGTTGTAGCATAGTGTTGACGTGGGTTTGACGTTAGTGTTCCTGGAATAATATTGATTTGAAGTAATTCAACATTCAAGTTCCATATTATTCAAATTGGAAATGTAGTGTCAACAATGTGGATAATTAACCATGTTGTTAAATCGAACCATGTCTGATCACAGCTTCTTTCTTTCTCAATCCCTATTTTTCTGCCTTTTTCACTTTTCTTGCACTTCTCCTCCCTTACAACCTATGTCTGTGTATCTCTCTCCCTCTCTCCCTCTCCCCCTCTCTCTCTCTCTCTATCTAGGACAAAGAGGTGAATCTAGAGCAGGTACACCAGCGTTTGAACAGCCTCCTGGACGAGGACATGGCGCACAAGCAGCTGCCGGGCCAATCTATCGAGATCTCTGCCCTGGACATCGGCAGCATGCAGCCCAGCCAGTCCCTGGAAGGCCTGCCTTCACGGGACCACTACCCGATCAACCACAGGGGGTCGCTCTCTGTGACCACCTTCCTCCAGGAGGGACATGGGGCAGGAAGGACACTCGGCAGGGGCTCTGGCAGAACCCTCCCCCTACCCCTCAGCAGCGCCACCATGCCCTCTATCCGCTGCAAACACAGGGCGCCCAACGGGGGGCTCTTCCGACAGAGCCCCATCAAGATGCCAATGTCATACCAGTCAGTGCCCGGAGGACCCATTCCAGAAGCCATTGATGGAAACCACGGGACTTCCATCTGAGCACTCAGCCTCAGCCCAATCACAGACACTTAAACCCCATGTTGTCTGGTTCTAACATGCATCCTTTGTCCTGATCCTGTCCACACTCTGATTGAGCCTACATTTTTAGAAAGGTGTAGACGATTAAAAGACACATTGTGATCTGACCGTGATCTGGATGTAAACAGATCTGGACAGTGAAACCATAAATCATCATTATACCGCCCTCTAAAACCATTGACAGGTGGCACCATTGACTTATGGCATGAATATGTGTCTTAAAATTTAAAATATATATATTTTGAAAGAATATCTGTCAAATAATTTGCATACATGGAGGGACCAGGAAGTCTGGTCACAATGCGGACACAGTGGATGGATAAGACACATTTGTAGATGTATGTCTGAAAATGTGGGCCCAATCAGAATGTGGACACAGGACTCATGTTAGAACCAGGTATATATGGGGCTTCAGGCTCGGCTGTGGTGAGCTATACAGAGTGAATTGTGAGAGGTGGTATAAATATGGATGGCAAGAAAATGTTTTTTTTTTACCACTGAGGAAATATGGAGGAAAACAACATGAGGAAAATGACTTTCATGTACATATTTGTAATTATGGACAACAAGAGGTGAGAAAATAAAAAAAAAGTGTATTTTGAATATTCTCAATTTTTTAAAGTTGAGTTTAAAAAACAGATACAAAAGTATTTAAACATGACTGTTTGAATGGATTTGTAAATTTTGTTCTAAATTAATAAAGGTGATAATTCCTTGTAGTTGTTTTCTAAGTGCCAAGTTCAAAGATGTTTTCTTTAAAATGAACATTATATGAATGTATCCAATTTATGAAAAGACACTTACTTCACACTTCAAAGACAGTGTAAAGAGTTGATTTGTTTAGTATGAAAACAATAAAAAATCATGATAAAAAAGTTCAAACTGTGTAGGCTACTTGGAGCCGTGTTAAGCCATGCCTTACATGTTGTCAAGTGCAGGTGTTGGTACAGGAAAGTATTGTTTTGGGGGGTGGGGGTCGAGGTGAGGAGGGGGTTATTTAAGATGTAGGGGAGGGACAGTTCATCTTTCTGCTCCTTAGGCAAGCACCATGGTCTTGTAGTGGATGCGAGCTTCAAGCCAGTGGAGTGTGCAGAGGAGTGGGGTGACATGGGAGAACTTGGGAAAAGTTGAAAACCATGTGGGCTGCAGCGTTCTGGATAAGTTGCAAGGGTTTGATGGCACAAGCGGGTAGCCCAGCCAACAGCGAGTTGCAGTAGTCCAGACGGGAGATGACAAGTGCCTGGATTAGGACCTGCGTCGCTTCCTGTGTAAGGTAGGGTCGTACTCTACGGCTGTTGTGTAGCATGAACCTGCAGGAGCGAGTCACTACTTTGATGTTTGCAGAGAATGACAGGGTGTTGTTGAGGGTTCACGCCAAGTTTCTTTGAGGGCGACACTGTGAAATTGCCAACAGTGATGGAGAGGTCTTTGAGCAGGCAGGCCTTCCCTGGGAGGAAGAGCAGCTCTGTCTTTTCGAGGTTGAGCTTGAGGTGGTGGGCCGACATCCAAACTGAGATATCTGCCAGGCACGCAGAGATGCGTGCCGGCACCTGGGTGTCAGAAGGGGGGAAGGAGAAAAGTAGTTGAGTGTCATCTGCATAGAAATGATAGGAGAGACCATGTGAGGATATGACGGAGCCGAGTGACTTGGTGTATAGAGAAAAGTGGAGAGGACCTAGAACCATGCCCTGGGGGACACCAGTCGTGGGAGTATGTGGTGCGGACACAGATCCTCTCCACGTCACCTGGTAGGAGCGCATTGCCAGGTAGGATGCAATTCAAAAGTGTGCAGAACCTGAGAGTAAGATCTGATGGTTCACAGTGTCGAAGGCAGCGGATAGATCTAGGAGGATGAGAACAGAGCAGAGAGTGTCAGCTTTGGCAGTGCGGAGAGCCTCCGTGACACAGAGAAGAGCAGTCTTGATTGTTTGACCCATCTTGAAGCCTGACTGGTTAGGGTCAAGAAGATCGTTCTGAGAGAGATAACGTGAGAGTTGATCAAAGACAGCACGCTCAAGTATTTTCGAAAGAAAAGAAAGAAGGGATACAGGTCTATAGTTTTTGAAGTCAGATGAGTCGAGTGTTGGTTTCTTGAGGAGGGGAGCGACTCTGGCCATTGTGAAGTCAGAGGGGACACAGCCAGTGGTCAGGGAGGAGTTGATGAGGGAAGTGAGGAATGGGAGAAGGTCTCCATTGATGGTCTGGAGAAAGGAGGAGGGGATGGGGTCGAGCGGGCAGGTTGTCGGGCAGCCAGACCTCACTTGTCACAGGATTTCATCTGGAGAGAGAGGGGAGAAAGAGGTCAAGGCGTAGGGTAGTTATGTGTGAGTGGGACCAGTTGACTCAATAGTCTGAGTGAATGAGGAGCGGATGTCGTCAACCTTCTTTTCAAAGTGGTTGACAAAGTCGCCCGCAGAGAGGGAGAAGGAAGGGGGAGGGGGTGGAAAATAGTTTCATAGGGATAGAGGCAGAAGCTTGACATTTAGAGTGATATAAAGTGGCTTTAGCAGTGGATACAGAGGAAGAGAAGGTACAGAGGAGGGAGTGAAAGGATGATAGGTACCCAAATGAACGAATGGCAGGAATCAACATAATTAAACATTAGATGACGCATTCTCTGGATGGGTCAGGTTAGTAATTTGTCGCTTACTGCATTAGTTTTTACTAAACAGTACGTTCTAAATAGTATGTAGTACAATTAGTAGGCTACACAGTATGCAGCAGGCGCCTAACTTGAAGGGAGGACAGGGGGGGTCATGATCTCTCGCAATATTAGAGACAGGCCAATTTGACCCCGTCAGTAATATACAGTACCTTGATGAATTTGATGGATTGGACATTATTTTCCCACCGTACTGTAGCTACTGGCTTTCTGTGGCTTTACACTAAACAATACTACTCCATTCATTTCTCATTTTATGCTTTTGGTTTGGCCAGGTCCTCAAGGGCTGTAGTTTCTGAAGGCAAAAAAAGTTGAGCAAGGCTTGTAAGGAGAACGGAGCAATATCTCCTCTCTTTCTTTCTCTCCTCTATCTTCTTAACAAACCCTTAATTCTGTGCGCTAACTTGTAACAAAATGAAGTAAAGTCGCATTTAACATGGTAAACTCATAAGCACGAATAAGAATTATATAGAACATGATATTTTTCAAATGGAGAACGTTTCTATTGTGAAATGACAAGATGCGCATCTTGTGTGTAAGCACTATTTCTCAAAATGAGTGATAATTGGTAACGGTTATATTGGCCTCATTTTCAAAGACAACTTTAGTAGTATTATAAACTTCGAAACAACTGGTTTCTAGTAGGCTACAAAATTAGAGATGAGCTGTTACTCTGAACCTCAGGCAGTAGGCTCAAGCGAGCTTGTTTTTCTCTCCAGTCAGATGCAGCGTGCCTGTCTCACAGACTCTGACCAGCAGCACCAAAGGGGGCTATGACTGAAAAAGTTTGGGAAGCACTGATCTAGCTAATGATTATCACAAATACAGATGGGCAACCCCAAGCTTCAGCCTATTTGCCTTGCAAAAGTATTCATCCCCCTTGGCGTTTTTCTTATTTTGTTGCATTACAACCTGTAATTTAAATTGATTTTTATTTGTATTTCATGTAATGGACATACACAAAATAGTCAAAATTGGTGAAGGGAAATTAAAATAATAACTTGTTTCAAAAAATTCAAAAAAATAAATAACGGAAAAGCGGTGCGTGCATATATATTCACCCCCTTTGCTATGAAGCCCCTAAATAAGATCTGGTGCAACCAATTACCTTCAGAAGTCACATAATTAGTTAAATAAAGTCCACCTGTGTGCAATCTAAGTGTCACATGATATGTCACATGATCTCAGTATATATACACCTGTTCTGAAAGGCCCCAGAGTCTGCAACACCAATAAGCAACTGGCACCACCAAGCCAGCGTCACCATGAAGACCAAGGAGCTCTCCAAACAGGTCAGGGACAAAGTTGTGGAGAAGTACAGATCAGGGTTGGGTTATAAAAAAATATCTGAAACTTTGAACATCCCACGGAGCACCATGAAATCCATTATTAAAAAATGGAAAGAATATGGCACCACAAAAAAACGTAATGCAACGTTCAATTAAACGGAAACAGTGCTGTTCTGAATGACCAGTTGAAAAATGAGGAAAAATGCACCACTGCCCTTCAAATATGTCACTCATTGCTTCAAGCCACACCGTGTCACACCCACCAAACATAGGCTACCTCAAAGTCTGTTCAAGAACATTGAAGAACGTTTTGGGCAAACGTGTCGTTCAGTACAAGCCATTACGCAACGTAGCAAATGTTAAAATCGAACTGAATGCATCCCAGAACTGACTTTCTCACAATCGTTCCATAAAAAAATGGTCAAGTAGACCAACAGTTTAAAGTAATGCAGAAATGATTGGTATTTCAGTTGTGGTTTGGATATATTGACCAAATTATCAGGAAAGTTTGGGATGCATTTTCCCTTCAAAATGTACCAGGAACAACCCTATGAGGTTGTTGACCCCGTAACCCATTGACGCCCACCCCAATATGCCTCAGAAATCGACAATTAACTGCACCTCAGATTGCAGCCCAAATAAATGCTTCACAGAGTTCAAGTAACAGACACATCTCAATGTGATGTGTGATTTGAAGGAGTCAGGCGCAGGAGGGTAAATCACAGTATACAGAGTGTATTCCGTAATCCAGCGTCACCAGTCCAGTGTGCAAACAGGGGCACTGGAACAAACATGCACATGGGGAAAATACCCCGGCAATACAAAATACTGAGCTCAACCGAGCTACTAATCCTCACAATGAACAATCACCAACAAGGACAAGGGGGCAGAGGGAACACTTAAACACGTACTAATGAGGGGAATATGAACCAGATGTGTGTAATTGA